TTGCTCTTCACTGCTGCCTCAAGGACCATTTCCCTCCTTCCTCCCTAAATAATGTCCTGCTAATTTGAAGTACATGCTATCAAACCATTCCACACACTACCTTTCCTTGTCATTACCTTACCATACTCCTGGTCATTCTCTTTCTTTTGTTAAAGACTCCCTCAACTGGCTTGCTATCTCATTCTCCATAACCTCATCATCATTCCGATGACTTCAATATCTATGCAGACGATCCATCTTACGTCCTGGGCTAAATTGCACAAGTATGATTATTAAAATTCCAAAATATTTTCACAGCCCTTGGTGCCTCCAGGACCCTGCACCAACTATAGGCATCATCCGTTTTGACGGATACATGTCCATGCCAGTATTGGTAGTTAAATACTTTGAACATTACCCCTCCTAACACCCTAGCCTCTCAGCTCTTTGACTTTCTCTTACTTTAAATGATCTTGTCTACCACCTCAGCCAGTCACTCCCGGTCATACCCTATACCTAGCTATTACCAACAGCTGCAACCCTTCCCTATCTCCAGTTCAAGCATCCCACTCTGCCACCTACATCTTCAGCTCGCTCCATTCCAACCAATTTGTCTCCCTCACCGAGACTCAGGAATAAATTTATATTTCATCTCGTCTTTGCACTGTCCTAATAAGTCTTCTCTTCACACATTACACAGCTTCAATCCCTAGGTCTTATCATTTGAATTCTTACTATGTATTAAATTATTTACATCATCTCATTTATCTTCACAATACTACGGAGTATGTACAATGACATTCATTTTATTGATTAGGAAACAGGTTTATATACATAAATCTATCCAGGACTATAGAAATTTAAAAAAATTTAAATGTCTGAACCATCATTTCCTTAATTTTAAACTAGGGATAAAGATAATTTATCTCTCTGAGTTGTGAAGGTCACATGTACACAAAAGCACTTTGTAGACAATAAAGTGCTCTACAAGTGTTAGTTATAATTATTAACTACTGCCTTGGAGGCCCTTACCTTTTCTCTCCACAGGAGTCCTAACCTAAGACTTCCTTCAATCTTGCTCTTTCCTTTGTAGTCATGGGCATACAGGAAGCAACATCTCTACTGTTCTGTTGGTCAAAACTTCACCTCTGACATCAAGCTTCAAAACTTTGAATGGAAAAAAAGCAGTGTCATAAATGGTGGTTAGGTATTAATTAGCAATTGAAGGTATGATTTCATTATGGCTGAACAGGCTTTTATAAGCCAAGCTGAAAACTGGTGAATACCTACACTGTGCTTTCTTATTCAAACCACAGCAGAACAAGAGTTTAGAAATGAAGGAGCCAAGGCTGATAGACAAGAGACTTAATCTCTTAAGGTCTTTTAGAGTTCTGTAGAGAACTTGGAACCTTAAATGTTTGGGACCTCTCCTGGATCTCCAGGAAGAACACTGCTGTATTCCACATGCTAGAATCTGGCGATGGGCCCAACTTATCCTGTTCTGTTGCTCTGAACTCTACCAACAGGGCAGTCTGGGACCACCAAGTTTCCTTAGAATGATATAATTAGACCCATCTGGTATATCACTTCCTTATAACACTAAATACAGTGGCTCCCTATTACTTGACATGGCAAATAAAAAATCATTGACCCACTATTCTAATCTTTCTATCAATTTCCCCACTTAATTTCTTCTCTGCTCTAGATAGATGTCACCACATCTGTGTGTTCATCCCACAGTATGCCACATCATGTCCATTTCTGCTTTCTGATTCTATCCAAGATGCCTTTCCTACACTTTGCTTTCAAAACTAATCTTGAAACTCTTACACCAGAAGGCCTTAAAAAGATGGAATCGTCTGCCTGCTACTCACTGCATATTTCATTACTCTACCTTTGTAACATTATATAGGAGTTTGGACTTATCCATATTCTACTGTGAAAGGTAAGATATCACTCTGGCGACAAGCACATCAGATTATAAATCTAAGGCCAGGGTTCAATTCTTAATGCCCCTGAACCCAGGCTGAGAAAATATGTACGCCTCACAGTTTGTTGATTGACAACTGAAGAGATGGCACATCAAAGCATAATATAACTATTTTACATTTTTCCCCAGTGATGTTTAAGATTCTGGCATAAAATAGATGTTCATTATAAATATTAATGGCCCACTTTTGTGCCATTAGACCAAAGCCTATTTTGCCTTGGTTTTTTGTTTGTTAGTTTTGGATATAACCTCACACTGGTTTATTTCCCAAAGAAGAGGAGAGGAGGGTATGGGCTGCCTCTCATGTCTATCTATCTGCCAGCTCTCCCCAAATATCCTTTTCAAGTAAAGTCAGGTTTAGATGCTTGGTTATATTCAATTTAATATTGTGTGGTAGAGGCAATGCTAAGTGTTCATCAAACCCCATTTCCTTTCCTACTAGGCACATACATTTTAATTCTCAGTGACTCCTGCAGTTAGGTAGGGCCACGTGACCAAATTCTGGCTAAGAGAATGGGGTGAAAATAATGTACACCACTTCCAGGGCTGGCCCCCAATGTCTAGGACAAGTCAGCCATAGCTCTCCTCCCTTATGTGAGGCCCATAGATTGGATGATTCCAAGGCAACAGGGAGGGTATGGTGGAACAACAAGATACAGGCAGCCTGGTCCCACCATGACTGCAGAGAGCAGACACTTCACCCACTGGCCCCAGCCAACTCGCTACACACTGTGACTTGTATGAAACATAAGACTTTATTGTGTTAAGCCACTGAGGTACTGGTATTGTTAGCCTATCCTGACTAACATATCTTCTATTTACACCGGTGGTAACATAAAAGAAAGGAATCCCTGGACTTAGTTCCGGGACCTGAGATACAAATCCTAGCTCTACTGTCCCCTCTACGTCTCCTATGATCTGCTCTAGAATATACACTATACAAGCGGTCTCCAACCTTTTGGAACCAGGGACTGGTGCTCCTATGAAAATCTAATGCCTGATGATCTGAGGTGGAGCTGAGGCAGTGATGCTAGTCCTGGGGAGTGGCTGCAAATACAGATGAAGCATTGCTTGCTCTTGCTTTGTGGCCTGGTTCTTAACAGGCTACGGACCAATATGGGTCCGTGGCCCAGGGGGTTGGGGACCCCTGCTCTATACCCTTTCCCAAATGCATGTCTAGCACAGTCTCCTCTTTCTCATTATTGAGCCACACACCTCCTCGCGTTCTCTGCCTCAAGACTTCTGTGAGGCCTTCTCCGATCTTCCATATATGTTCACTTCCTTGCTCCTAGTGCAGAGTATATTCTTACATTTTAGCATTTATTATATTTTACTGCAAATATTTGTTGACGTGTTTCCACAGACTGAGTCCTTGAATTTACAGATAGTTCCTTAAAGACCTTAAACTCCCAACATTTAGTTACAGTGCCTGGCACGTAAGGAAACATAAATAATATATTAAAGGAATGATTGTCACCTATGACTTTAAGTGAGTCACTTATTTTTTAAGTCTATAAAATAAAATTTTAAAGAATCGTTGTGATGAAATAATGTGATTTGTAAAATGTAATTTATTGTTTTGTAAGCCTTTCTCATCTTTTTCAGTCAAATTTATCTTAATGCGTCAAGATAGCTCTGTCCAATAGAAATATAATGCAAGCCACATATATAAAATTTAAACATTTAGAAGCCATATTAAAAAATACCTTAAAGTAACTTTAATAATATAATTAACCCAATATAGACAAAATGCTGCTTATTAGCTATTTCATATTTTAATTAAATCTTCTAAATTTGGTGTATATGTTACAATATATCTCTATTTGGACGAGCCACATACCGAGAGCTCAGCAGCCACATGTGGCTAGTAGCTCCTGCAAATTGGACAGTGCAGCTGCAAGGCCTACGGTCTTGGTGAAGTCAACCTGACCATCCTCATTCAGAACTAGTGACTCCTCCTTCGTGATCTCTCAAGCCCGGTATCCTGGCTATTTTGAAACCTAGAAGGTAAGCTCCTTGAGGTCTTCCGGACTGTTATCTAGCGAAATCGTTTTCAGAAAGATTGCATGGCATATAATGAGCAGTTATTAAACGTGGAGGTAATTAATGAACCGGTGTGCGAAGGATCCCGCGGGAGGCCGAGTGGCCGGAACGGAAAATGGCCAGTCAGGGAGCAGACGCGGGCCAGCGGGCACAGC